TTATATCTGTTATTATGGAATATATCTTGTTTTGAATGGCCAATTCGAGTAGAAAACATTCCTTTGCTAGTATAGGTTACGTTTCCTAACTGTCGCAGTCAGAATATTGCCTTTGCCTCCCCATTAACATGTTTGAATTTTCGAAGTCAAACTTATCAATATTATGTTCCAAGTTGATGGATACTATTTTCTTAGCACAATTACTGGCAAAATTTCGGCGGGTTGGTGATACCAGTAATTTTAGGCGTGCGCTGGAAATCTACGAAACCAAACTAGGACCGGATGACCCTAATGTTGCGAAAACAAAGAACAACCTTTCATCAGCTTATTTGAAGCAGGGAAAATACAAGGTTCGTTTAGGTTTTTTGATTCGTTGTGTGCTAAGACAGGTCAAATATTGCCAATTTCTAAGCCAATGCGCTGTATTGACTAGTTTTGAAGTTACATCAAACCTATATGTGTTGTTTTGCTTTATAATATCAGTTCACTTGTTGCTCACTATCTATAGGATGTATTACAATGTGTTCAAAGTAAAGGTGATGATCTAATCATTAAACACCATTACTTGAAAAATCCCTCAATCCCCGCTGATCACATACTAGCCATGAGCAATGTGTTTGTTGGCGGGAATCAGTGAGCCTTTGCCTTGTGTTCCATTAGCTTTCAGTAGCCGGCACAGGCCATTCCCAACATTAGTGCGCTTCAAATGTCTGTTTACCAATGTCTCGCTAATTGATTCTGACATGCAGCCAGATGCCGCTTGGTCCTTCTCAAAATATACGATTTTGTTAGAATTCGCAGTGCCCAGTTTTTTCTTTCGTTGATCGCTCTGTCATATGTTGTTTGTCGTTTTCGCTGGCATCTCTTTAGTTTTTTTTTTTACAGGAGGCTGAAGAGCTGTATAAGCAGATTCTAACGAGGGCACACGAACGTGAATTTGGCAAGGTGATTAAAATATATCCTCTTGAAGTTCGTAATCAAGAGGAAGATCAGATACTCTTATATGTTTGCTTTTGCAGATTGGTGAGGATAACAAACCAATCTGGCAGATCGCTGAAGATCGAGAAGAGCTGAAGCAAAAGGGAGGAGCTGATGCTGGACCTATTGCTTACAACGATCTTGGTGGCTGGCACAAGGCGGCTAAGGTTGACAGGTAAGGGATCTTGCTGCTTTATTATTCTCTTATTTTCCTTGGCAAATCTCTGATTATGGAGGGAAAGGAAAGGGGTTGGGAAAAATTTGAAGTTTGTAAGAAAGAAAATTAACACAACGTTTTTCGCAAGTGTGTTCTGTGTATGAGGAGTATGTCAATGATTTGCGTTGATAGTTACGTGACCAATTGACATTCAGCCCAACAGTAACAACAACACTGAAGAACTTGGGAGCTCTTTACCGACGTCAAGGCAAGTATGAAGCCGCGGAAACACTAGAAGATGTTGCGCTCAGAGCCAAGAAGCAGGTATGCACGTTACCATTTATCATTTTTTTTAT